CCAAACAGGAGAGCCCAGCCAGGGCTGGCCTGTCCCCACCGAATTCATCACAAAGCAAAGCCCAGTTTGCAGCCTCGCAGCTCGCAGGGTTTCTGCATGATGCCATTCGAACAAAAGGGTGATGAGAGAGCAGTTCCATGGCTGGGGACTGATTGCAATTTGTGTCTCATTTTGGCTTCACTCTCTGGCACTGACCCAGCACAGTAAAGCACAGAATGGTGTGACGCAGTCCCCCAAATAATGGGTTTCAACTACATCAGCATTTAGCAATGTTTGTTAGAATTTTACTTCCTAAGTGTTAAATAGAATCTCTTGCCGTGGCCATTAGATGGTGAAACAGATACTGGAATCCATGAACAGCCACCCCTCTTTCTCCCTGCAAAATTCGATAAAAGTTTTGCTGAATAAGGACTTTAGGATTTAAATATTGGGTTGTGTTTAGAAGTGCAGAGCCAGCAAAGAATTGCATTTTTAAAAATGACCCCATAGCCCCTGGCTATGGAAATAACCCCTAACACAAAATCTGCAATTAGAACCGGACAGTCAGACTAACTTTACAGAAAACTTGCCCAAAACATCTGCTGGCTTGAGAGCCACAGGGGTGAACCTTTGTGCTTGCCAGCATTTCCCATCATTAATTTGAAATGTTTGTCTCTCAGGTGATCTGTCACCATGTGAGTCCATTCCAAGCATTTGCAGTTCAGTGCATGGCACTAACATTTCGTAAGCAATTTTAGGCTGATGTGTCCAGAACGGGGCACAGCAACAAATCAGCTCGTTATTGAAGATGGAGGCAAAGAGTTACAACCTTCGTGCTGTTATTTGGAACTTGTAATAAAGTGGAAGCAATAACAGCAGTGAAATAACAGACAAAATATGGTTCAAATGTGTAAGCAACTCTCTTTACTCCCTTGCAAGGCCATGAAAAAGCAGCTTCAGAGCAGCTGTAACTTAGTTCATCCCAATTAGGGATGGCTGGCAGCCCCTCTGTACCAGTCTGCACCAGTAGGTCACAGCCAATTTGGAGGAATCATTATAAAAAAAGATGCTGGTATTATAAACCACGCTCCCATAAAGGATTAAATATGATTGAAAGCCAGAATATCTTTGATTCCAGTCCTAGTGGCTCTTATTTTCTGTTCTGCATGATCAGATCAGTCAACACATAATATCCAGGCATTTTCCTACCTCTGTGGAACAGGAATTGCTGGATGCTCCAGGGATATTCAGGATGCTGACACAACTGCTGGCATCCTGGCCACAAGTACCAGGCTCACTTTAGAATGAAAATTGTTCTCTCCAATAATGTGGGAACACCAGTTGCAATTGTTTCTGTCCTTTTTCAGCTTTCTGAAGGGTCCAAAATTGTCGAAGCTTTCTGAATAAGCACTGAACTGTTCTTCCTTAAGAACTGCATTTAAAGATCTCTTGACTTACGAAATCCATTTTTCTATTCACTGGGATGTATCCACCCAAGTAGGAAGATTTTTGAGCACAGGATTTTTATTCCATCTGGATGAACTCTTCAGTATGTACATCTGGCAGCTCCTCTACAGAACTGATGGTCACATCTGCTACAGAAAAAGCAGCTAATTGCTTTTGCTTTCTTTTTTTTTTTTTTAAATCACAGAAGTGCTGCCTCAAAAATCCCAGCACAGGAACTTGCTCTGCTGTTTTCTGGAGTTTCTTTTCTGTAAAGCCTGCGAAAGTGTTCCCATTCCTGATGTGCTGGGTTGGGTTTGTGTGGCCAGGTTTTGGTAGCTTTTGGGGGGGACACAGTCCAGTTGCAGATGGAATGGCTTTGGTGGGCAGTTGATGCCCAGCCAAGGTCAACCCACCTCATGAATTTACTGGTTCCCCTCCCTACATCAGCCACACCAACCAGCAGCAGCAGCACAAAAAAAGCTCTTCAAACCCACGTTCTCTGTTGTTGTTACCCATGAAAAGCTTTCCTCCAATGTTGCATTATTTGTGTGGGCAAAACAACAGCAAACAGTATTTATAAACTGACAAAAAAAAGACTCCTTTCTGCACGGTGGGTTAAACGAGGTGCTTAAACTAACAACAACCTTCATCTTGATGTGTTTCATTGCACAGGTAACTGAGAACCCAGCCTGTTAATAAACAGGGGCTTTGCAGATCGTTCTACCCCTTCTGGAAATACCAACAAAAGCTCAATTCTCACTCACAGAGAAGCAAAGCAGGAGGATTTTGCTCCTATGGAGTGATGAATTCTAAAGAAAGGGCAAAGAAATGTTTATTCAGTCATATAAATATACACTGGAAAGAGATCTTATGTAACATTTGCTGCCTGTAGTTCCCCAAAGTTTCGGAAGTGTCCAGTTGTCGCACAGTAATTGCCATGTCATTAAATCCATCCTGTTTTTAAGCTTCTCCAGCGATCACCTCTGACTCACCCTGTGCCACCCCCAAAATGGGGCTGTGGCTGGGTTCTCAGGAACAGCATCAATCTCCAGTGGCATTTTTGCTTCCCAGAGGCAGCACCACAGCCCTGCAGCAGACTGGAGGTACCACGAGTGCCATGGCAACTACCAAGGCATGTGGAACACTTTAATCATATTGGAGCTTTTGCCTCCTCTTCGTTTTTTCCCTTTTTTTTTTTAATTTTTTTTTTTTATCCCCAGCTCTGCTGCCTTAGAGTTTGCAGGCAAATAGTTATTTTTAGCAGCTACCACATCTCTCAGATCTCTTCTAGAACCTCAGCTCGTTCTCTTCTCGTGACGTTTCAAGCACCGGGAATTGGGTTGTAAAAATGCAAGTTAAAAATTGGAAGCTTTTTAAGGGACAGCTTCCCACCTGATCCCCAGAATACTGGGCAGATTTGATTTTTTAGATGTGCATGAGTGTTTTTAAACACATTTTCTGCTGTTCCAAATGCTGTAGGTAAACAGCAGGACTCTGCCAACAGGGATCTGTGGGAAAATGTGAGTGATGCCTGCTCACACTATACCCACCTCATCACAGATTTTATTACTCATTCATTTCAACTCTAATCTAGGTTATTATGCCACACCCATCACCATGGGAATGGCACTTAAAAGGCCCAGAAATACTTTGCTATTCAGCTCTGCCTCAGAACTTGCAGTGTGATCTGATTGCAGTTTCAATATCCAACCCCCCTTGGAGGAGTTGCAGCTGACAGATTAAAACCCTCAGCAATTACCAGCATCTTCAGAGCAACGTGGAGCCCTTGACAGAACAGTGAATTACAGCTGAATGGGAAGGGATCGAGATGAATGCATCCCTAATCATGAGGGGGATAACTCCTCATCCCTCATTCACCCTGTCTTAGAGCAGAGGTAAATACAGGGGGAGTTTTACTTACTGGTTCTGCTCTGCTCTCTCTGCCTCCTCCACAGAAAGGACCATTGAAAAGATTTAAAAGCACAAGTTAGAAGACACCTCTGAGTGCCCAGAATGTTGTATGATTACCCTTCAAATTAATTCTAAAATTAACCCCAGAAGTCACACAGTCCCTGCCACAGGATGCCCGTGATCAACACGTGCATCACAAAAATCTGATTTCAAGAAAAAATAAGTATTGCAGGAACTTCTGTAGAAGTTTTCTTCACAGTTTGAAAGGCAAAGGGAAGTATTCCAGTCACAGCTGGTTTTTAATCTACTGTGACCAATAATGAGCTGATTGAGGATGAATTTGTTGTGAACACAGAGGGCCCATAAAGATGATTTCCACCTTGTGGTTCCTGGGGGCAAGGCAGAAGCGCTGAGTGTTGTCCTTCTACGGCAGCAGCATTTCATAAGAGCCATTAAAAACCCATCTTCTGAGGTGTGGAGAGAGAACTGCATGTTTAGAACCTGAGCAGCTCCACACACCCAAAGGTGTGGGCACTGCAATTGTTACCTCCTGCCCTGCATCCCACTGTCCCCACGTGGCAGTGACGCAGCACGTGAGCTCAGCAGGGCTTGTGCAAACTGGAATGACTGCATTTAACTCCCTGGGAGGAGGAGGAGGAGGAGGCCTGGAGGGAAGGGCCAGATCTGCACGTGCTTCCCCAGACAGGCTCCTTTTGGGGCAAGGAAGTTGTTGTTGTTGTTGTCTCCTGTTCCAGAAATGCTATTTCTCCTCTCAGCTGTGAGGGAAAAGCCTTTCCTTTCAGCACGTACAAAGAACATTTACCTCGACTCGCTCTCCAAATGCAACCACATAAACTCAGCTGGGGAATGAGCAAAAAGGGTTTTTCAGCCTCTCAGAAGACAAGCTGGTCACATTTATAAAGGCACGTTGGGTTTCCTTCCTGGAAAGTTTAGGGGGGAAGAGAAATAAATTTCAAGGCTTTAAGTGCAAAAAGCCTGGGCTTCCTCAGACACTGAAATGCAGAGTGTACCAATATCCTGCATTTTAAGGAGCTTTGGCCAATGTGCACCAACTGCAACACCGAGAATTGTAAAGAACTGAGTTCAGTCTCTGATGTTATCAGATAAAAACCACCTTTGCACATCCCCCCCTTCACAAGTTTTGTCTTAGCTACTTGAAAACGCTTTGCTTTACTCTGCTTTCCTTTGGTTTATGGTGCATCTCCCTTGGCTGAAGTGGCATTTCCCTCGGGAAGCCTTTTCCTGCCAGTGCTTTCCCAGCTCCGAGGAAGTTTCCTGGATCTGGTGCTCCCTCTCTTGGCCATGGGAGTCAAGTACAGTCACTTCACCTACAGGTCCCTCTGAAGACAACAGAGAAGGGAAAAAAAAATGTTAATCAGCACAACTGTAACACTTCTAAGATTCAAAAGTGGGCAACTCTTCAGCTTACAGAAACTGAATTTTGTGGTGAGGTTCTATTTAATAGCTAAAATAATTGCAGCAGCTCCCTGATTAGAAAAATCTGAACCCACCTGTTGTGGTCCTTCCGAAAATATTTAGCTTTATTCAGCCTCATTTTTATCAGCTTGTTTTTTTTCTAATTATCTTTAGCAGCTGAATTTCAAAACTCAGCATTTGGCTGGTTTAGGACCCCAATGAAAAGCTCTTTAGCTAAAAGCCCATTTATTAAACCTCTGTACACAACCACGAGCATGTCTGTACAGCAAGTTTACAGGCAGGATGATGGTACAAAAGGTACAGTGGTAATTAAAACAGACCCACATAAATAATTTATAAAAATACTCCAACTGGTGAAAATAGCATGTAATCCCCCATTATTTTCATCCGATCGCCAGGACTTCGATGTGGGAAATCTTAACATTAGACCTTTTTAAAAACATTCTGAATATATTAAACTTATCTACAGGATAATTAGCAAAATGTATAAAGTGTAGATTATTGTACAAAGGACAGATATTAAAAAAATCACCAATCCACCTGAAACTCAAGGACAATAAAAATCTCAGCCAAAGTAATGGACACCAAACCACAAACTCCTCTTTTTAGAGTCTTGAGTATTGGCAAATAAAATGCTCTTAACAAATCAACAGGCCTGTTATTCCTTAGTGGAATTTGGGAAAATTCTACTTTTTCTGGCTGCATTGGTGGGCCTGGTCAATGTGGAAGCTCTGCAGTGACTTCAGTTCCAAGGAAGAACGGGGCAGAAATGGATTTGTCAAGATTTTCTCTTTCCCACCAGAGGATGAGGAAGGTCATCTGAGTTTGTAAAACCAGAGGAGGAAACAGAAGAAAGTTGGGATTTGGACATAAGAAAACAAGGGAAGAGCAGTTGAGGTTTAAGTTTTTTTCTTTTGCTGGTTTCTCGGGGAATTTTTTAACACGCTCCTTATCCGTAGATAAACCCCCGTGGACTCTGCCATGTTCTCAAACTCAAAGGGTGTTATGCCTTCAGCAAACTTGCTCATGTCAGGAACAAGGCTGGATTTTTTAGCAGATGATTCAGTGCTTGTGGTCACTTTATTCCCTGCTGTACTTTCCCCATCGTCCACCTCGGGGTTGGGAGCAGGAACGGGGTTATCCAGCACACCTTCAGGAACAGCATTATTGGCATTTTCCTTCAAGTCAAGTAAAGTGTCTCCTGGATTAGGACTCGTTACGGAATGTTCATTTTCTGCTATCTGGTCACTCACGTCAGAAAACCCAGTTTCCACTGGGATCACCTTCTCAAGTGACCTGCCCTCAGCAACAAGATCCACCTCATTCCTGGCCGGTGAGGATGTGAGGGAATTGCCAGTTAAAGGTGTGTCCACAGGGATATCAGAGTCACTGTTGGTGCTCTCTGCCTGCTCCAGAGCTGCCCAGATCAACCTCTGCTGTTCCTCCAGCTCCTCCAGGGTCAGGGTGTCCTCATCCATGACAGAGTCCACAATTTTGGGCTGAGGAATATCACTGGAAGGGTTCAGTGGAGCAGTCCTGGCCACAGGGGAGCGGGTGGGCGTTGAGGGCTGAGGGGGGGTCAGGGGGGGTGTTCCCCGGGGTATGGGAGGAGGGGTGGACATGGATGGAGATCCAGGTGGCAGAGGAGGTTGGAACTGAAAACTGTTGGGAGTTTGGGACCTTTGTGCCGCTTCCAGATCTAGGGAGAGATTAAAAGACACCTGTTAGAACCTGAAATCTGAGACCAGGACGAGATTCAAAGTGTCCCTGTTCTGATTAACTACCAGATTTATGTCTTCTCATCCTTGGCTTTCAGCTGAGGCAGAGCAAACTTTGTGAAGGTTTTAATATCCACCAAAATCATGGTTTTGGGGATTTTTACAACTCATTCAAGGAAAAAAATCACTCTTGAATGTGCTAAGAACAAACTCATTCCACACTGAAGAATTCCTCACAGCAGATCCAAAAGGAAAGCCAGAAGTTTCTCCAGCTCTTTGAACATTTAAACAACGCTAAGTCCTCCTTTGAGATGGACTCATCTTTAAGGAGCTGAAAGCTTGTAACTTCTATTTTATTTCATCCAAATATTGAAAGATTTACAGGTCTTCTGTTAAGAAGTTTTTTTAGGATATACCTGAAGTAACGAGATCAGAATTTGTGACCTGACACTGCAATTGCTCTGAGCAGCCCTGAAACCTCCTGCTTGGGATGGAGGATCTGCCACTCCCTGTGACAGTCACAGCAACCCAAAATGCACTGACATTAATCACCACCAGCATGACCATTAACACACTGCCTTCTTTTAACCCTGGCATTTTAATGCAGAGCAAGTTATTTTGAAAATAAAAATTGAAACTAGGGAAAAAAAAACCCAAAAACATGCAGAGTGAGTGTACCAGAGTCCAGGTCCATGTCAGCTGCTGCCACCTCCAAACTGTCTTCTCTCGGTCGTTTGGAGTGATGAGACTTGGACTGAGGTGCAGCCCTTTTATTGCTGGATTTGGGACTTGGCTGAAGAGGAATTATCCAAGAGAGCAAAAAGAATTAGATTTAAACTGTACAGGGTAACATTTCCAGCTAGAAGAACTTATTTAAAGGGATTTTATAAGCATATAAAGATTTAGGGACCCAGAGTGTAAATAGCCACTGACATTTGAGGGATGCCATGACCATGGCAAATAAGCTTTTCATTATTAAGGCAATCTGGAACTAAGATAAGTTTTAGGCTGTAAAAGTTTATAACAACTTGTTTTCACAATTCTTTATAAATCAGTGCAGAGTATTAACTAAATAATGGAATTCATTTGAAGCACGAAGCAATTTTGGTAAAACAGAGAAGCCAGAGCAGCGTTTCACACCCCTTTGGTGTCAGCAAGAAACTCTGCACCCTGGTGCAAAAAAAGGAGATATTAAGCAAGAAATCACTGCCCACACTGACTGCATGACAACCCTTTGTGTTTATAGTAACAAGGAGATATATTCACCGCCTGGAAATTGGAAAGGTAGTGAGCAAAAACATCCTTCTGCTGAGATGGCTGCATGGGGATGGAACCAAAGATCTGCCACTCCTACAGCAAAGAGAGAGGAAAAAAAAAAGAGAAATAATGTTGCACGTGGTTGGTTAAAAACACTCCAGTAAAAATGAAAGGAAACTTTGAGAGATTAACAGGCCAAGATGAATTTCTCATCAAAAGCCTCATTAATCAGAGTAATGACTAGATCTGAACGTTTGTGACACAGCTACAAACTTCCCTTTGAAATAACTGTTCAGGCAAAAAAGGTTTATTTTGAAAAAACTTAATTTTTAGTGAAAACTTGAAAAAAACTCGAGAATAGAACTTTGGTTAAGAATATTGAATGAAAAAAACCACTAAATGGGCAAAAGTAAAGTGTAAAGTGCCCAAGTGCTTCTTTTTAATGCACAGGCATTACATCAGTGATCAAATTCACCACCAGCAGGTTAAGAGGCTTTAGAGAATCAAAGTGCAGCAGCCACAGATTTTTTGGTGTGCTCTGAGCTTAGGAGAGCACACAAAGGTTGTTGGAAAGGTCTGCAGAGGTTGGGCAGTTCCTGGTCTGGTGGAGTTTTCCAGGGCTGAAATTGTAACACCCACAGTTAATTTTCATATTCTGCCTTCAGCAAATTTCGTTGTATGGAAGGAACAGCCATTCATGGGTGAAGTTTTGTGTTTAAAAAACATTGAATTATCCTGCTGGGCTCCTGCTGGTGTCATAATGGAATTAACCCCCAGAGAAGCACTGTCAGAACCCCCCCAGCACTCAGGACAGGTATCAGCCAGATCCATGCCCCATTAATTAACAGTCCCCAGCCCCAAACCAGGGGCTTCAAAGTAAGAGACTGGTGAAAGAAAATTGCCAGATGCAAAATATAAAACTAAAAGCATTTACTGTCACTCAGCACGTTATTTAGAAGGCAGAGAACAGCTACTTACATCTGGGATGCCACTGGGAGTGGATATATTAAAGCCTGGATAATTTACCAGCTTGGAGACATCGTAAGTGATACGTTTGTGTTGGGGACACTCTTCATCTTCTGCATCACCTTCACCTGCAAGGAAATATAATTATTACTGATGTTAATTAAGAACTGAGAGGTACTGAAAAAAAATCCACAGGATGTAAGAACAGGGTTTTGGAATGTAAGTATTGATAGGAGGTTTTGTAATCCACAAGGGCAGTAACAGTGACCAAATCCATCAGATACCTGCACGAAGCTTCCCCAGAAACCCAAGTGGGGACTCCTAAAACTACAGCTCTTCATGTACCACCCTCAGAATTCGGCCCCAGGACAGTTCTGAGATGCAGAATAAACGCTGGTCAGAGCAAACAGCTGATGAATTACTTTACAAGTTGGGTTTTAGGAAATGTGTTGTTTGCTAGATGGTCTTCTTAGTCTTCCTAGAAACAACTGAGTTACTGAGCTGCAGAAAGTGTTTCTTTCATAAGGAAGAGAACAAGGAAGGAAATGATGCAAATCACACCAAGGCTGGGGGTTTGATCCCACTATGGGCCGTTCACTTAAGAGTTGGACTCGATGATGCGTGTGGGTCCCTTCCAACTCACAACATCCCGGGATTCTGTGATGTGCAAGTCCTGCCCAGTTTCACAGGAACTGCAAATTCTAACAGTGAAATCACACTGACAATCTTCATCTGTGCAACCCAAGCCCTACAGAACTTGTCTCACTATTACATCACAGCTCGATAGAAAAGGAGTGTTTTTACATGACTAAAAAAAAAAAAACTTGATTTGCAACTTTCTCCCTCCTGCATGAGGGAAGATGAAGTTTTCCAAACCAGCCACTTTGCTGCCTCCTGAGCAGGAGCAGCCAGTGGACAGGCTGCACACTGAAGGTGCTTTCCAGCCCCACATTCCTCACCTTTGCCATCGTAAAGAGCAAGTCCTGAGTGCTCCATCTCGGCCTCCTTGAGCCAGCCCGGGGGGTAGCCCAGCTGGCGCATGCGGTAGATGAAGGGAGGGAGGCTCTTGTCCGTGACCCCCAGGGCATCCTGAAGGACCCCACTGAGCCAGAAAACAAACACAGAACAAACAGAAACCAAAATTACAGCAAATTCTGGAACCGTTGGCGAAAGGAGGTCATGAATATTTTGTTGCATTTCACGCTGTCGAGTTGAAACAGATGAATTTTAGCTCCAACTGGGCTGCCTTTCAATCCCAGTTGTAACCATTTTAGATCCAAAGCAGCTCTGATATTCAGTATTAACTTTCTGCATTTCTCACATGCTTTAACAGAATTAATTCTACCCCAAGAACAACTTATTTAACCTGCTACTTCTGATTGATGTCACTCTCACAACAGACAGGTGTTTTTTTTGGAGACTGCCACATAAAACTATGATTCTTTTAAACATTCTGAACAGAGAGGAAGGGGCACTCAAAGCTCCAAATTTTCACAATTTGGCATGGTTTTTTTTTTAGTTTATTAGGACCATCCTAAATCTGCAATTTGAGAGCTCAAAGTGGAACATTTATCTCTCTAAATTAGGGAAAGGACCACGGGAAAGGGGAGGACCACCAAGCTGGCGATGAGTTTTCATCTGAAAAATATCTTTGCCATTTACTGAGCAAGATTCAAACACAATAAACCCCCAGTTCGAAAACCTGGCACTCCAGAGGTCCAGAAGCTATTCCAGTGGAAGGAAAAAGAGATACCTGATCACTCCTGGCTTAAATTTTCCAAACCTCTCTTCTACTTCTTCCACGTGGTAACGCTGCTGGAAGTTCTGATTGCTCGTGTCCCCACAGGCTTCCAAGAACTCCTTCCTCTTCTCACTTATCCGAGCTGCATTCCGGGGCTTAAAGGCAAGCAAATTGGCAAGTTTAGAGTTAAATTCACAATTCAGGTGTGTTATTTTATATTCATGTGATATTTGACAACAGCAGCTGGCACTGCCTGCCCTCCTCATGCTCAGCTGTTGATCTCCCAGCCCAGATACAACCAGGTGGAAGGGAAACCACCCAGCAAAAGGCAGGAGTGTTTGCCCTGGAGCTGGAGAGCTCTAAACCAGATTGTTCAAGCTGAAAATATTCAAAGTTAAAACCTTTTGGGTTTTACTTGTGTTTCTTGTCCATCTAGGGAGAGAACCTGGCTGAAAATTGCTGGTATCTTTAGATTTCAATAAGGAACTGCTACTGGATGGAGCAAAGTTTGTTTCCCCCACAAATAAAAATTTGCTACAGCACGAATTTCCCTTCTGATTTAGGATGTCAGAACTTATAATATCAGCAGTATAATCTAATCAACCACTTGGCCATTCTGACCCCAGCACCTCTAATGTTGTTTTTAATGAAACATTCCTTGGAGAGCAGCAATCTTGGGAATACTGGTGATAACTTTACCTCTGGACAGTCTTTCATTTGATGGTCTTCAGAACCACAATTGAAACAGTGAGGTTTGGGCCTGCTTAAAAAATGCACAACAAATTAAGCCTGAAAGCAACTTTGCAGTGTTAAATAAAAGCACTTAATAATTTTTGTTCTTGACAGATTCTGAGGTTGAGACTTCTTGAGGAAGAAAACAGTGAAAACCTGGGATGGAACTGCAGCTGCCTTCAACTTTCATCTTCCTTCTGAACTCACACCATGACAGCAAACATCTGCAATGTCACTGGGGGGGAAACCAAGATTCCTTTTCTCAGCATTCATTTTGACCCAATTAGGGCAGGAACCAGAAGTGGAGATGAAAGGGTGGCACCAGAATCAGTGTCCAGGGTCACCCCCCACACACTCCAACCTCCTGAAGCCTCAAATTAGCTGAAGTGAAGTGTCTTGTGCTTCATCTTCACTCACACAGGAACCTTCTGTGGGTATTGCATCACTGGCCCATTCCATGAGCACGACCCTTCCATCTGCTTTCCATTCAGGAACAGCAATAACCACACCACTTTAGCTCAGCATTCCCCCTATCTTTGGAATTCCCACTAAAAGCTTTCCTGGTCTTCTCTGCACCTGAAATCAGGGATTTGAGATGCTCCAAAGACCAAACCAGTTGTCAGCTGGAAACTGGATTCACTTTGCTTCTCACCTCCCCTCAAAACTGCACAATCCCCTCTGAGATCAGTTCAAACTCTATCAGGTAACTCAGACAGGAGTTACTCTATAAAACAATAATTGTGACAATCCACCAGTGTAAGGATGACCAACCAACCACTAAAAAGACAAGGAGCAGAAGAACTGATGTAAAATTCACAGTTTTCACACACTGGTTTTAGGCCCTTCCTAAAGAAAGTCAATAAAGACTGCAAAGCTCAGCTCTGGTTTAATTCATTCAAACCCCTTAAATTATGTCCAAGGGTTGAGTGGGGGATAATCACAGAGGACATGTGAACTCTTCAGCTCAAAACTTGATATTTAAGAGGAATACAAACCTTTTGGGTTTGACTTGTATTTCTTGTCCATCTAGGGAGAGAATCTGGCTGAAAACTTGCTGGTATCTTTAAGATTTCAATAAGGAACTGCTACTGGATAAAGCAAAATTTCAGTTTGGTTTAAAAATATCAGTGAAACCTTCAGAATGCTCTGACTCCTGACTTTTCTGCATGAAGTTACAGATGGGTCCTTGATATGAAATCCAGAGTATAAACTGTAAAATAATTACTACAAACCATCTGCTAAGATGAGCTTATGCTGTTTCCTCCTGCACAGTTTGTACCCAAAAAACCCAATTTTGCTCTTTTTTTCAGCTAAAACTAAAACCCTCTTGTTTATAGGCAGGAACCTCGAGGTAATAATTCTGAAATGCCTCCCAGCAATCTTATTAAAAACACAACATTCTGGTTAATCTTAATGAAAAGATAACATTTTGTCAGAGCTTCAGAAAACTGCCTGTTGAGTGGAGTATTTTGGTCATTCAGAAGCACCTGATGCACCATTTCACTCCAAAAAATGCTGGTTTAGGCTTAATATCATCTCTGGGAGCTCTGAAGAAAGATGCAAAAAGTACATTTAAAGAACAATATCAAAGCCAAATTGGAAGACATGAAAGTCTTCCACACTAAACTTGGCATTTTAGGAGAAATTCCCCTGTTAGGGATCTACTCCCTTCACAGGTCGGGGGATTATAAATTTGCAGGGTTTTTTCAGGTACAAGCAATTTTTTTAACACTAAAAACGCCCTTTATTACAAACTTGAGAAGTAGATATTGCAGAAACGAGCTGTGAAATTGGTTCTTGTCCTGAATATTTCCAGGGCTGAAGCAAGACTGGATAACTGGGCAGATGAGGTCACTTGGGAAATTTCTTGTCCCATTTCTTTTTTGCCATGGGAGGCTACAGCATTAAAAAACTATTTCGACATTTCCCAACTTTTTTCAACATTTCCCTCAACTCCACCTTTCAACCTGGGGCTTTAATAAACAGTCAGGAACCACCTTTAAAATGGATCCTCAAACCCTGTCATTTCACGATTCCATTTTAATAAAAACCCATCTTCCAGCACATATTTGAGTTTGCCAAACCCTTTTCTTCTCCCTTTTATAGAGGGGGAAAACTTGTCCAACCTGCAATGAGTTGTCATTCCAAACCTAATTAGGGACTGGCCCAGGAAATTCTTTAATTCCCAAGATGTATTTATTATTTCTGGGCATAAGGCATTCACCCTTCCCAAGGATAAGCCTAAAAAATCAATAAGTCAATCATATCAAAATAATTCTTTGAGTCAAAAAGCCATTAATGACTCATTAATGACTGATATGGTTTGGACAGAAACATAAAATCTACTGAAGAGAACTGGAGTTCAATTTACCAGCTGGAACTCTTTGGATCTGACAAGCAGAAAGAATCAAGATGTTTTAGCAAACAGGATACTTTGGGATTTCCCATCCTTCTGTCAGCTGTGGATTCTCATTTAATATGGGCTGTCCCAGTTTATCGAGACAAAAATTGGTAAAATACACAACACTTCCTACAACCTGCAGAGAAAAAGTCAAGAGAATTGTCAGAAACGTGGCAGCATTTAGGTGAGATCTGTAGCATTTCTACACATTTACACTGCTTGAAACAATTGCAGGCTTTTTTTCCCCCATTCTGTAAGAATTTACAAACAATACACACACCCACACCTGGACAAGTAAGATTTTTTTCACTGATGTAGGCAAAACATGCTGAACTTAAATCTGATTTATCAGTGTAATAGCAGTGCACAGATCTTATTTTCATGGCAGTATATTGAATAGGTAGAATGAAGAGTCAGACCTACCGTGGCAGAGCACAGTCAAAAACTTACACTAAAAGCTTCTTTCATTTTTTTAGCAGAAGATGAGCTGGCTGTTTTACAATCCTCTTCCAAAACAACGCTGGAGGGCTGGCAGGAAAAGCAAAAAGAAACAGAATGAATTGGAAGTAACAGTTAAATGGAAGGGCTCCTGAATTAGTGAAGTTTGGAAAAGGCACAGGATGTGCAGATCAGCTGCTGTCCTCTGGAATGTCCACACTGGCCATGATGCTCTCCAGAGTCCAGAGCAGGACACAGCTCATTTCTCAGGTTTCCTTTGGTGAGGATGTGCTGCACAACAACGCCTTTATTCTCACCAAAAAGCCCAGGGAAAGATGGAGAGAAATGTGCCTTTCCACCCTTGTATTCAAACTGAGCGTTAAGTACAACTCAAAATTCTAAACTAGGAGAAGAAAGTGCAATTTTCAGATTTTGCTGGATATTCTCTCACATATACTCAGAGTTGGGCCAAATACATCACAAGAGGATGCTTTAAGTTTATACTTTGCAGTCTTTTCTTGATTATTTAAACCAACTTCTTAATTTGCCTGGACTGAAATTTCAAAGCAGCATTTTGAGGGGCAGAAAGGATCTTTTCTTTACCCTGGGCTCCATCTCTGGCACAAATGGTTCCACAACACTGGTTTGTTCCTCGGCCTGAGCTCTGTTACCATTGAACAGGGCAGCACTGCCAGATTCCCCCCAGAAAGAGGTGAGGGAGAAGGAGCAGCTCAGAACAATCTGAACTTGGAAGTACCTGTGGCTTAGCATTCAGGTGTGTTTTCTCTTGCTCACTTTTCTTCTGCTCTTCGTATTTCTGAACTAAGCTAAAAACAAAATCCTCGATTTCTTGGTGGTAGCGCCTGGGACAGAGGGAAGGAAAGAGCACAGACAGATCAGACACCAGCAAGGCTCCAACAAAGCCACAGGGCTGTTTTAAAAGCATTTCCCACTTCCTAAAGAGCTCACAGAAGAGGCAGTGGAATCCTGTTCTGTCCCATTCCCAACCCCACCCAAAGGGAACACAATCTGTTGTTTGGGAGCACCCTGAGCGTGGCATAAAAATCAACTCAGCCAGGGAAAATTTCATTTCCCGCATTTACCCACAACATTCCTGAAATTCAAACTGCTCTTCAGGCTCGCTCCAAGCTCCTGGAATTCACACTTCACCTCATGATAGTTTCAGATATTCACAGAATTGCAGATATTGCTAATGAAAGTAATATTGCTTTCATATTGCCCATTATTTCTCCCTTTCAGGTCCAACAAGTTTCTGTTATTAAATAAAAAGCACATCCATCCATTGGGCACTACACTAATATACCCAAAATAAACAAAAATTCCCATTTCCTGTCAGGATTGGGTGTTTTTTTCTTGGAAATACTTACTTAGAAATGACATTGTTCATAAATAAAATCTGCAAGAGAGGCCCATCAACTTTGGAGTTTTCCACTGAGATTCCACTAGGACAGAACAGAGACACAGACAACGGTCACAGGGTTTTATTCATTTTATGGTCACTGTTTTATTCCACAGGGTTTGGCCAATACAAGTTTTATTCTTTTAAGAAGTTCCTATCCACTTAATCACCCTCCTTTTAAGCAGCTTGGCCAGTGTGAGGTGGAAAGAAGACAACTCAGAACATCACACCACAAAAATATTCATATTCTGTGTGAATAGAACTCTATTCCTGCTCTTATAACTGCAGTAAACTTAGAAATGACATCTCCTATTTATTCAAGCATTTGATTGAACTTTACTCTAAAAGTGTTCCCCTAAAGGCCACATTTCATACAGAGACAGATACACACAGATAAATTAAGTTACAGTGACACCAACTTAGCCCTTGGTATTCAACTCCAAAAGACTTCTCAAGAACTGAGATGGCACTTCAGATGCCCAATAACTGAGCAGGGACTGGGACATGGAAACAAGGTTTAAAAAGATGTGGGAGATTGTTATCTCAGACAAATTCTATTTATATATACATATACATCCATATAAATATCAGCATTTAACATACCTGGGACGAGTCAGAATATTCAGCTTCCTTTTAAGTTCCTGATGTTAAGTTATGGTTAAGGAATATGATTGTCTTTGGGAGACACCTCCCCACATCTTAATAATAATAATAAATAATAATAATAATAATAATAGTAAAAAAAAATAAATTTGAAAAAGCAGACCAGCTGGGACAATCCCAACAGTGCAATTCATGCACTATGCACTAGGGTTGCATTAACAGATTTGGAATACTTTATTTTTAAACACTCTGTGATCACCACAGAAGAAGATGCAACAGTAGGACACCCGTACTTGGAAATGAAAAATAAACGACAATACCCGTCTCAGATCCCACTCTGCTGCAGTGTGAACTCAAAACCCCTTTCAGGAACCCGTCACAATTTAACAATTTAAAATTATTTGTAGCTACGCTAAAAATGGACTGTCAATGTGAACGCACAGATGTTTCCTTCCCTTAGGAGGACAGAGAGCAGTTCAGCCACAGCCGTTCAACAGCCGGCCCGGGACTCCAGGACTGAGCCTCCTCCTGAGGCGGGGCCGGCGCGGGCCTGGGGATGAAAGTTTGGAGGGAAAGCTCCCTCTGAGGAAGCCGGGGAGAACGGGGCACGGCTCCCTCGGGCGCAGATCAGCCCTCACCGCCCTCCGGGACGCGCCCGACGCCCCGGTGGACACCGAGGGGTCTTTCCCCTCGGCGGAAAAGCCGGACCCTCGGTGAGGGCCGGGCGCGCCTGGCCCGGAAGGGAACCGGCAGCGGCAGCTCCCGCCTCCCCCCGGCCCGGCGCGGGCCCTGCCTGTCCCTCCAGGATATTCTCCGCCCGCAGCCGCTGCACCGTCTCGTCGCGGTCCCGCAGCCGCTCGTAGAGCTGCAGCAGAGCCTCGGGCACGCCCAGGGCGGGCGGCGAGGGCGGCCCATCCTCGCCCTCCAGCTGCCCGAACAGCTCGCGGTCCCCGAAATCCACCTCCGCCGCCATCTTGGGCCGCCGCAGGAAGGGCGGGGCGGGGGCGAAGGGCGGCGGGAAGCGAAGGGCGGGAACTACAACTCCCAGAGTGCACCGCGGCCACACGGACCAACGGGGCACTGCGGGGACGCGCGGGGCACGCTGGGAGTTGTAGGCTGGCCCGAGAGGAACGCAGGACTCGCTCCCGCCGCCACAACCGGCAGCGCTGCCGCTCTCGGCGCCCGTTTCCCTTCCCTTCTGAGGGGGGACACAAAGGAGGTTTCAAGGAGGTTTTCCTACACTAAAACCCCACTTCGAAATAACCAAAGCAAAACTGACCATCCTTAGATTTTCCAGACCTCTCCCTGGAGATTGGTCCACAATACAAATTAACATAAAGTAAAACCTTAGAGAAAAAAAATGTCTTTATTATTAACCAGTTTTTCTGCACTGGATTATGTGCCTATTGGCCCAGACCGCTAAATAACATCTACACAATGTTTCTTTTCATGTTTCAAGAATTGAAAATAACTGTACAAGGTTAAAGTACAAAAGTACACAAGACAGTGGACACGAAATATCCATATATGAGTTTATCCCATCTGCTGCTTGTTTGAAAAGTAGAACTTTTAACTAAAAAATACTGTCCTTCTCTAGTTCTGTCAAGTTTAATGGAAGTGGGTATAACCTGATTACAACACTAACACCAGTATCACTAATCTGATATTTACAAAAAAAATTCGTATTTTTCAATAAATTAAAGTCAATGCAACACCCATGCTAGCTTTTTTGGTGAACAAGGACCCCAACATGTGAACAAGAACCTTCCACAGTCCCAAAACTTCAAAACTGCTTTATGTTTTTGTTTTGTTTTCCTTTCTCAAACTGCATCCATTCCTCTCATGGAAGATGTGAAGCCCAAGCCCATTCCTCGTTGTGTGTGAGTCTGTGATCTGGCCATTTCGTACTGTGCATCCAGGTTTCGGAACACCTCCTCCTGCTGCTTCAGTGTTTTGTAACTCTCCTCATCCACGGAGCTGCATCCGGCTTCGTCCTCGCTCTGCGAACAGGGAGAACACAACCATCAGCTCGGGGGGTTCAGAGGATGTGTCCTAAACAGGACTGTTCTTTAAAAAAATAACCCTTTTTAATAGTAAAGGAAAATTAAATTTCAATAAAATTATTTTTTAATAAAAATCAGATTAGGAAGAATTCAAGTATTTGATTTATTCAAGCATATTGAAATTTATTTGAATTTACTGCTGCAACATTCTATTCTCTGTCAAGAAACAGAGGGCTGTCTCATTAGCCAGAAACATGCTGATATATTCTACAATTTTAACTGAATCAGATCTAGATGCTACTTCTGAATTTAATAAATACCTAAAGTTCAAAACTACATCAGGTAGTATTAACTCAGTATCTTTACTGGTTAAGGTAGACTTTAAAATAAATAGAGAAATCATTATGCTACAATTAATACACTTGATTACATTCAGAATTCTTTACCTTTATGCCCATCAGTTTTCTGAACTTGACATTTTGGTCCTTGTTTCCAAAATTGAGTTTTTCCCATATTTCTGCAGACTGTGACTTATCCTGCATAGGGTCAAAAAAAAGAAAAGATGTATCAACTTTCAGGCAAGATCCCATTAATATCACAACACAGTAGCAAGCAAAGAGAGTGTTAAAAACGAGCCCATTCTAAAGCACAGCTGGAAGCAAAAGGTTTCCAAGTGTGCCATTCCTGCAGCATCCTGACAGGAGCTCTGGGAGGGACCTCTCCCCAGCCACAGAGTCAAAACCAGGGCTATGTTCCTTCCTTGGGAGCACTGCACTTCTTTCCAAAGGTCTGGAAAGCTGGTCAGAATTCGTGCTCCAAGTGAGTTATGGAAAAACAAATTGGCTTATTGCAATGAATTAACACACAGCCCAGGTCAGGGAGAACTGCCTGGAAGGCATTCAGGGGTGTCCTTCCCTCCCTCCTGTCTCCCATCAGTGCCATGGGAAGCAGTTCCAGTTTCTCCCATCTCATGGAACAGCCTGTGAGGAGCTAAGGCAGCTTGTTATGTAACTGCTGCCAGGTGGTAACACCTCAACAAACCCTTCTGTGCCTGCAGAGAGTCAAAAGACAAAACCACAAATATTTTCCCCATTTTTCCCACAGTATCAGCAAGCAAAACCTGTACTCAAATCCAGCAACTTTCTGAAAAACCAACTGCCACAGCAGCCTTTTCTACCTCACTAACTGCAAGGGCATCTGACACAGCACGAAAGCCTGAAGGCTTATTTGTATTTATAATTCTTGTTAGGGTTAGTAATTCACTGCTCTGCTCTTGACAAGTTACTAGCAAGGTCTACAGACTTGGTTTTGTCATCTGGAATTGGACAGGACACAACCACATGAAGAATCTCTGCAGTCCCAGAAAGGGATGGTCAGTTATGGTTTCCACACCTCAGCCATCACTTTTCAGTAAAGGGACACCATCTGTACCTGATGTTTAGTTACAAACTGCAGGCAAACTGACAACAGCAACATTAAGATCTAATTATAGCTCTAAGGTTTTATGCCATTCAGGGTTTCCTTGAGGTTTGTGTCACCACCATTTGTCACTGGAGGTCTAATTATCTTAGTCCTTCCAATCCTAAAATCACAGAATATTCAGAGCTGGAAGGGACCTACAGGGATCAAGAGTCCAATTCTCGGGTTTAAAATTTTACCTCAGGCTGCTGTTAAAACAGGGCAACTTCCTGACAGGTATGAAAGTAATTTTGCTGGAAATAACATTAATAAAAATCTTTAAACTGAGTGCAAGAGGCTTCCAAACAAGTTCATGAAAGCAAAAAAAAAAGCCACCATTACCCCTTCCTTTTTGCCTTGCCAAAGCATCTTCCGCTTTTTCTCCTGCTCAGCAAATTTCATGGGGTTCACAGCTGCGGGGTTGTAATAGCTGGGAACAGCTATGCCAGTCTCTGCCAGGGCCTTGGCCTGCAGGGCTGCCATCTGAGCTGCCATGGCAATCTGAGGAGTCACTTGTGTTCCCGACGCCAGCAGAGCGGCCACGTTGATGACGGAGCCTCCGGTGGCTGCAGCCGCTGCAGAAAAGGGAACTTGTTATAAACAAATTTGGATCTTGGAGGGAAAAAAAATCCCAACCACCAACATCCCCCCCAAAACCAAACAAAAAAAAGCCAAACTCCCCAAACGCTTCCCTTCGACAGAAATAAGTTGGAAAGGCACAAATAACAAATGATCAAATACATGTTGTTTGTAAATTAAGAAACACATCTCCGACAGTTTCAGTAAACCAGAAGTGAAACTGATGTACCCCGGGGTTCTAAATAGCCCTGAGCAGACAAGAGCCTTCACACTCTGATGGTCCAACGACCATCACAAAATCATGTACCAGCTGAGTTACACAACAGTTCTGTTGTACGCTCAGTAAGTGATAAGAAAAGTCCTGATCATTTTGGTTGGGGTTTTATGTTTCTTATTTTTGGTTTGGTTTTGCTTTTTTCCAACATTTCCTCCTTCTGGTTGTGGTTCTTGTATATGGACACCAAGTTAAGGTTATACAAAGACAATGTGCACGTTTGTTGGAAGGACTGTAACACTCAGCTCATAGGAAGATACTCTCAATAAGCCTACTTTTACTTTCACACTCCTGTTAATGAATAATATAATACACATGAACTACCTGCAGCCATTTCCTGTTGCTTCTGTTTTTCAACCATTTCCTTCTCTCTCTGTTCTTGCAGTTTCTTTGCTCTTTCCAGTCTAGAAGTACACGAAAATAAAAACATTGAGCTGTGCAAAATCAACATCAGGAGCTTATATTTAGTGTCCCAAATCCCAACCATTCCTGACCTCCTGGCTAAGGCCTCCTGTGCATCCATAGCCGTGTTCCTGCCCCGGAAGGGTGGAGGGCTGGGGCTCCTGCTGTGACTCCTGCTGAACCTTCGGGGCTTCTCAATTCTCTTCTTTCTCTCCCTGGAACCAAATTTGACAGTTGATAATCCAAGTACACATGGAGTTTAATAACAGTTCATAAAGGATTTGATCACAACATTAAAAATTTGCTGAATGATTCATATGGAGAGCTCTCAAGAGGCTTCCTAGGGATTATGGCTGAGCAGTGTAACAGCCAAACTCTCCTTGTAGCACAGAGCTAAAATTCAAGATTTCCAACTGGAACAGAGTGTCTAATGCTGGACATCCATTTCCCCTCTTTTACTTAGTGTTTAGGACACACAGATCTGCTCTAAAGATTCTAAGACCTGCCAAGAAATTCTAATTTCTGGTAAAGTCAATTGCAAGAGAACGGAAAAATAATCGAGTTCAAAGAATGCTTTAGAACCATAAGAGACCTCAAAGCATATTAATAATGAGCATTTTGAAGAGGCCCAGGTTAAGAACTGGAATGGTACTCAGTGAAATTATTATTACTCTCCCCTGAATGTGCTTTGGACAAGAGGCTGCCAGGCTGAGTGGGAATGTGAGACCTGCTTTAAATGGGAGATTTGCTCTTGAGGAGACCAGACTGTGCACAGAACTATGAACATGAATTATCTGCAGCCTGACCATCAGAAAGGCACCCAGTTAAAATGCATTTTTTTAAGCAAAATACCAAAATACTCAGTTCAGTTCTCCTTGAATAGCCTTCTCCCCACCTCATCCCAAGCAGGAATTATTCTTAGGACACCTACACCTCATCCCATCTGAACAACAACCACTCAAAGTACACATATAAAGCACTATTAGAGCAGCTGCCTGTGCCAGGATCATCAATATCTGCATGACAAGAGATAATTTATCCCTCTTTAAGCCTCTGACACTGATGTTTCAAAGAAAGAAGTCACAGATGCTCTAAGTGTTCACCAAAGCTCAAATTACAGGAGGTACCACTCACATTTTCCCCAGATTTGCCATAAACAGTAAATTGAGATGGACAAAGGCGTTTCTGCAATTTTATACTTATACTTTTACACTTATTCTGACAGATTAACTGGAGGTAGTGGCTAATGACAACAGCCACCTCACATGGCAGTCAGGGACTCTCC